ACTCAACAAAAACGAGAAGAGAAAGAAAGAGAGAGAGAGAGAGAGAGAGACATCTTATCCTGTGTTCTTCACCTGGCTTTGAAATTCTATTGTTCTGTGCGTGTTTGTCAAGTGCGGCTTTTGAAAAAAACACAAATATACAGCTGCCTGAGCCACTTGCGGCCCGTCGATTTGTGAGATTGCGCGTGCTTGGTGTGTACTGCATTGGTGTGTGCGCTTGTATCTCGGGTGTACACGGAGGTGTGCGTGAGAGCTTGGCTCGCGACGAAAAGGGGGAAAAAAGTCCGGGTTGGTAGGTTCCGAGCGGAGCAGGTCCTCCTCGCAAACCCCCTTCGGCGATCTTCTCGCGTTCCGAACCGCGAAACTTGCCAAGTGACGATGACGTCGGGAAGGGGGTGGGGGGGACGTCCCGTGCTCCGTGGCACCAAGAAGGAGCCTACCTTGTGCAGGAGGGTCTGGGAATTAGCCACGTTCTCCCATTCCACTGTGCCGCCGACCACAGCCGTGTCCGCTCCTCAACCGGGAAAGCGATCGGAAGGGGGCCGGATTCGTGGCCGGTTGGTGTTTGGCGGTTGCAGCTGGTGACGTTGTCGACGCGAAGGCACGGGTGAACGATGACCGAGGCAAAGGTGGTGTCTAGGGCAGGGCCGGCCCCTCTTTTTAAGACTGCGGTTTTCTACGCGGCTGGTTGGGAAAGAGAACGGGATTTGGGGGGGCCTCCGAGAGAGAGCTCACCTGTCCCGTTGCCGCCTCTTGCAAGAGGGGGGGACGGTCCCCGAAATATTTGCAGAACGGTCATTCCCCTGCTGGATGGGAGCCGGACCCCACTCTGGAAAACGGGGGCCGTCGTGCGTGGCCCATGGGCCAGGACTTGCCTGTCCTGGGTGGGCCCGTTAACGCCTGTGGATGGGTGCTCCCCCCCCCCTACTGAGTGTCCCCACGTGTGGGGGGGGGGCGAGGAGAAGAAAGCACCAAGAGGGATGAGAGAACTTGGCTAAAAGTTCTACAAATATGGAGCTTCTGAAATCGAGATCTTTTGGCGGTTGTTACCCAGCTGGGAAACCGGGCCACTTCTGCTACGGGAAAGTGGGGGTCCCTGGGTCTCCCGTCAGCTAAATGACAACCTTACTCGGACACAAGCACCAACGGGACACACACACACACACACACACTTTCGCACACCTAAGGGAGGCGTGAGAAACACTGGTTTTAGCTTACACTTGTCTCCTAACCACTCCGTTTTCCTTATTATTATTTGTTTTGCTTAAATCCAAAGGATTTTTGCACAGCGGGAGGGGAAAAAGCAGTGAATTGTGCAGAGTTAAGCCTGGTTCGGGACCGGGTGCGAAATCCAACCTTTAACATGCAAAAAAGCTGGGTCAAATTCTGCTGTGAAAAGTAGCAAGGCCGTGGGAGGGGGGGTGGGGTGGGGGCTAAGCAACGGAGGGATTTATAGATCGATCATCTACACCTCTAGATAAAAATGAAAAAGCAGAAACAAGCAAACTCGTTCTTTTCCTAAAGAAGGGCGTATCGGGGGAAACCTCCCTCCCAAGCCATCGAGAAAAAGGCATTGATTGACAGAACGTCCCTGTGTATCGGTAGGGAAGGGTCGCGGGGGGTTTTAAGGGCCGCGCGGAGAGGAGAATTTCGGTCAGGGTCCCCTGGGATATGCGGTCAAGCTTGATTTAGACTTCGGTCTCCCTGCACGCCGGGGAACATACCCCGCCTGTCGCCCGGGGACGGTTGCGTCGTTGTGACCTTCATCACCCCGCGAATGTTGACGCCCCGGCTACGCGGTGCTCGAAGGACAAAGCGCATAACCACAAAGGTGGTGTCCAACGGTCAGCATGAAGTGTGGGCATCTCCGCACAACGCGGAATTGGGATTTGGAAGGTGTGCACCGTCGTTGGCTCACCTGGTGTCTGATCCTGCCTTCGGGAAAGTGGACTTCGGAATTGGCTTCGTGGGATTAGAACAGTGTTTCTCAACCTTGGCAACTTGAAGATGTCCGGACTTCAACTCCCAGAATTCCCCAGCCAGCATTCGCTGGCTGGGGAATTCTGGGAGTTGAAGTCCGGACATCTTCAAGTTGCCAAGGTTGAGAAACACTGGATTAGAAGGCGGATTATTTCCAGAGACCAGAGGGTCTTCTGATTAATTAATATTGATTAGGGGACTGGAGACTAAAACGTGTGAAGCACGGCTGCAGGAACTGGGTGTGGCTAGTCTGACAGAGAGAAGATCTTGTGGGGGACATGATAGCAGCCTTCCTATATTTGAGGGGCTGCGACGAAGAAGAGGGGCTCAAAATATTCTCTAAAGCCCCTGAGGGCAGGACACGAAGCAACGGATGGAAACTAACCAAGGAGAGATGCAACCTGGAATTAAGGAGGAATTTCCTGACAATGAGAACAATTAATCAGTGGAACAGAAGTTGCCTCCAGACGTTGTGAATTCTACAACACTGGAAGTTTTTAAGACGAGATTGGACAACCATTTGTCTGAAATGGTAGAGGGTTTCCAGCCTAAACAGGGGGTTGGACTAGAAGACCTCAAGCCATCTGCAGCGTAGATATGTGTCGGTGCCTACGCGCAGTTGGAAGCCAGTCTAAATCAAGCTTTACTCGCTGGGGATAACGTTACAATGGGACTTACACACTGGCCAACATTCTCCTTCCTGGGCCACCGTTCGAGATTATTTAATTAAGTGCAACCCCTTTATATCAGTATTAAAGCTTTGGGTGTGTGTGTGTGGAGGGGGCCCTTCTCAAATCCCGAAGACGGGAGGAGAGGAAAGGAGAATGGACATTTTGATAATGCCTGCTTGTCCAGAAGACACGGACTCGCAGAATGGAAAAGCGGCTCGGTTTCTATTTTTTTTAAAAGCCCGTTGGAGAACGCGAAGAGTTTAGTTGGGGATTTCATTGGGGAAACGTTATATTTCCCATCACGAGCCAAAACAGAGTCCCTTTTCCACGCTGCCGGAAAGATTGCGTTCGACTGAGGTGAAAGTAAAGAAAATCCACGGAGCACCATGAGATTAGCTTCTAAGTAAAACATTCATAAAATCGGGGTTTAAAAAATCGGATCCCTGCACAACGGTGTTTCAAACTTTAGAGACGGGTGGACTTCAACTCTCAGAATTCCCCAGCCAGCAAAGCTGGCTGGGGAATTCTGTGAGTTGGAGTCCACATATCTTTAAAGTAGCCAAATTTGAAAAAAACCAGCTATACATCATTACTTCGAACTGAGCCGCGCTGACTTTAGCGCAACTTACTTCGAAGTACGTAAGCGTGACGGGGATCGAGGCGTTTAAAAACACGGGAAAAGGGGAGCACCTTCGGGGAAATTCCGATTCCCCTTTCGTTAAAAGTCGTAAGGGGAAAAAAAAAATAGCGATTGAAATATCGACAAGAAGGTCATTTCTAACAACGGATAACATTTCATAGCACCGGTTCAAACTCGCTGAACGGAAAGCGTTTCGTTATCGGAGATGTTCGCGATCAGCCGGCCCTCGCAAAGGTTTAAAAACAGAGGACGGCCGTTCTCCACCACAAAAAGCCTTTGTCGGGGGAGATTCGTCTGTTTTTTTGATTTTTTCAGACCGTACTTTTTTAAGGCTCCTGAAAATTTCTCTTCAGATGACGGATTTGGCAAATCCCTTTTTTAAATTTTTTTTTAAAGGATTTCGGATTTTGCAATTGTTATTTTTTTCTTTCTATTTTTCTGGAACGTTTTGACGACCGACAGGTTCGAAATGTCGCGTGGGGCGTTGGATATATATATATATAGCTAGCCAGTTTCCCCCAATCTAGCTGTTTTCCAGATGTGACTCGGCTTGCCGTGAAAGGGATCAACGACCTGCATTCAAAACACACCAGTCGACTGCTAGATTGGGGGGAGCCGGCATGCTTTTTTAAAAAAAATAGGTGTGGGGGATTTTTTCCCCAGAGAATTTCCTTTCTATCTTGCCTTGTTTTCTACAGGGCATCCGATATCCTCCGCACCGAAGGCGGGCAGGACGGAGCGCATTTTGTAAACAGAGAGAGGTCTTTTAAGTAGGCCCAGATGGGGGCCGAAGCACCAGCGTTTCTGTTCTGGGGGGGCTGATTATTCCATCAGTGGGCCATCTTAGGGGTGGGGGGGGGAAGATCACTCTCTAGAGTCCAGGACAGGTGTTCTCACCTGGCCAAAATGTCCTCGCAGGAGCAGAAGCTCCTAGGACTTCTCTGGTTCCTAATTCCTTTATCAAAGGTGAGACCTTGGGTTAAGGTCAATGGGAGCACCGTTAAGTGTTCTGGGGAAGTCGGGGGGAGAGGCTAACGCGGATGTTCGCCCTGTTCTCAGAGCGGGTCCCCTCCCACTTCTCACCTCCCTCAAAGGGGTGAAGCCCTTCGCCCCAGGAATGGCTGATCTTACCGCCTGGGCGCCTCCTGAAGGATCTGTCCTAGCGAGCCGAGGACAGAGGAGAAGGTACAGCCCCAATGGGTTCTGAGTCTCCCAAGGGGGAGCTGCACCTGTCTTTCTCGCCCGGGAGGGAATCCCTCTGTGGTGCTTTCTCTTCCTTTGGGGGAGATGGAGAGAGCAGACCCCACCCCCCTCCGTGAATCGGTCCCACTCCTGGCCCCCTTCCTCTTGGTTCAAGAACATTCAGGCGGATAAGCACCAAATGGGGTGGCAGAGACCCCCCCCTCCCAACCGTCTCCGGAGGGGAGAGGCTGCCTGGGGAAGGGGACGGGACTGAGGTAGGAAGAGTCCTAAGAACGCCAGTGGAGGGTGGACGGGCGGGGGGAAGGGGCCGGGAGGAACCCTTCCCCGAGGGGGCATTTGGTTGGATTTGGTTCCGGGTGTCCCATCTGCAGAGCAGGAGTGTGGGATGGAGGTGCGGTGGGGGGGCGGTCAAGGGTGCCACTTCAGGTGGCCTGGTCCAGCTCCACCAGGAGTTCCTCGCCCAACTGGAAGTGCTCGCCACCACGCCTGGAGACCTCCTCCTCGCCATCATACAGGGCCAGCTGGGAGAGCGCTGGGCCGTCCACGACGAAGGGCAGCATGTCTCCTAAGAGGCCTGGGGGCAGAGAGTCGGGGGGGGGGGGAAGGAAGGCGTGAGAGAGAGAGGTCATCAGGGGTTTGGGACCTTAACCCGTATCCCCCTCAAATCCGGCCATAGTAAGATGTCTTGAGACAGCCGGGAAAATCCCAGCCACGAGAGCAGGAAGCGTCAAAGGAGGAACTAGCCTGGAATCCTTGCACAGCTGCAAGAGGCATCAGCCTGACTCCACCTGGTGGTTTCCCAAGGGAAGGCAAGCAGTCTAGGGCAGTGTTTCTCAACCTTGGCAACTTGAAGATGTCTGGACTTCGATTCCCAGAATTCCCCAGCCAGCATTCGCTGGCTGGGGAATTCTGGGAGTTGAAGTCCAGTCATCTTCAAGTTGCCAAGGTTGAGAAACACTGGTCTAGGGAGATTCTCGCAATATAGGTAAGAGCACAATAAAGTGGCTGGCTCGGCCCTTTCGTGAATGGACCCGGTTGCTTGCACCTGACAAGACTACATCTCCCAGCATTCAAGAGGGTGCCTTGGCCAACCATCCCTCAGCCCCTTCCTGGTGTCCCATCATCAATGCTTAACGGAAGTGGGGTTCGTTCTCTGTTTAACTGCCAAGAAGAAAACATCAGCCCACCCACACGGTCAGAGCAAGCCACCAGCATCTCAAAAAAACAGGGGCAAACCCCACTCCCTTCCAGCACTGATGATGTAACCTAGTTGGGTCGTGAAATGCCCATGAGAAATGTTCATTCAGGACTGCCAGGTCAAAGGGACAGGATGGGGGCTCTGGGCTGACCCCGCCAATAGCAATAGCAATATAGCAGTAGACTTATATACCGCTTCATAGGCCTTTCAGGCCTCTCTAAGCGGTTTACAGAGAGTCAGCATATTGCCC